GCTACCATTTCTCACGTCACGTGATGTCCCCATCCGACCTGTTGCTACTGTCTGCAGTAGATGCAGTGTTGCTGGCGTTTAGTGATGGTTGCTTTAACCATGTTCGTATAAATGATTATCCACAGATGTGTGTCACTGCTGTGGAAGCACTTTGGAAATGATGCACGCGCAGCGGAGCAGGTCACGCGCACCTGACACAATTTGTTGTTTGTATTTTTCACTCCGTTCTCTTTTTTGAATAGAGGGTGCATAACATTCAACTGCCCCAAAGATCCCGACGCGAAGCCTGAAGGGTAAACACCAGGTTTACTAATCTACCCGCACAATTTGTCTCTGGTGTCGGAATGTCTCGCTATGTTAGTACATTCTTAAAAAACAAAACACCATTTCATTTCGGATTATAATGTGTTGTAACTGCGTTACTGCGCATTGTAACGGGTAATATATTACCCACATTTCATTAGTAATGCGTTACATTACTTCGTTACAGCAAAAAGTTATATATTACTGTATATTACTATATTATATTATATTACTTTTGTAACGCGTTACACCCAACACTGGTCCTGACTGGTTCTTTAAACCTCCCGCTCCTGCTGGTCCCCCCATCTGCTGTAAAGGATAGCCCGCGACCAGTGTTGGGCTCCTCAATGCAGTGTGCAATGCCTCAATGAGCTCAATGTGGGCGGAGCTTCACAGATGACGCATTGCATCCTGTTTCCCGGGTAGCAGTTCTCTTCCCTCCCTTCAATCTAACCCTTCCCCCCATCCTAACCCTAACCACTCCCTACCTTTTTACCTAATCCTAATCTTCCTTCCTCCCTCCCATACCCCAAAACCTCTCCTACTGTAAGAAATTAAAATCAATGTTGATATGACATCATTTAAATTAAATACAGGGTTTTAATTTAAAGCAGTTTTATTCTGAAAAAAATGGAAGTTCACACTAACTATTAATTTAACACTTTTATTCAGAAAATTCTTCATTTCCCATTAGCATTAACGTTTTGAAAACCGTGAATTGAAGGTGAAATGACATGTGATGTTGTACACTAAACACACTGGGGTTAACACTCATTTATTGACGCTGAAGTAACGTTTATCAGGGAATGTTTAAATAACCACAGCCATCAGAATTATATATATATTAATAATATAAGATATAATATGTTGCTTTTGTGACTGGGTAAGCACACAACACGGGAGTTGGGACGTCACATGACTCAAAGGTTGAGCTCCGCCCACGTTGAGCTCCCGCCCACGTTAAGACGTTGAGGCATTGCGCACTGCATTGAGGGGTACTACCTCAGAGCTGGTCCAAATTCCTGGAGTGGATCCCACTGCCCTCTGCTCAGAGCTGGCCCAAATACCTGGAGTGGATTCCACTGCCCTCAACCACCAAAAACTGATAACACACTTCCTTCCACCTTCACTCCGCTCCTCCCCCCATATCACGTTCCCCCCCGCACTGTCAACCTGGACAACCTCTTACCTATTCAGCCTGTGACCACACCACGCCCCTCCCACTCAACTAACATTGCCCTCCTTAACATCCGATCACTCAACAAGAAAGCCCTCATCCTCCATGAACTAATCTTGGAAAAATCCCTTGACTTCCTTCTGCTCACCGAAACCTGGCAACAGCCCGATGACTTCTTCTCCCTCAACCAAACATCCCCCCCCTGGCTTTAAATACATCATTAAACCCCGCCCCTCCTGCCGTGGTGGTGGCCTTGCTGTAATCCACAATCAGAACATCCAGATCACAGAACTAACTCTCCCCTCAGTATCATCCTTTGAATTCATTGCCTTCAAAGCACCTCCCTCACTGACAGTCATCCTCATCTACCGGCCTCCTCATCCCTCCTTCCTATCCGATTTCACTGAATTCCTCACACTTGCCTCATCCCTCTCTCAACGTCTGTTACTACTTGGTGACCTCAACATTCACATTGACTCACCCACCTGCAAGCTGGCATCCGAATTCACAACCCTACTGGACAATTTCTCTATCACCCAACATGTCACCTTCCCCACCCATGATAAAGGACACATTCTTGATCTCGTCTGCTCTACCAACCTCCCAGTGATTGACCTCCACCCTTGCCCATTTCCCCTCTCCGACCACAAACTCATACAATTCACCATCTAAGCCCAATCTTAGAATAATACTTCCTAAAAATAAATCCCATCCTCCTGCTGTGATGTACTTTACTGAGAGGAAATGTAACACCCGAAACCCCTGCCCACCCAGAAACATCACCTTCCGTAATCTACACTCCATTGACCATAACCATCTCTCCGAACTGCTATCGTCTAATCTCCCCCTGGACGCAACCCTCAGCTCACCTGATGATCTGCTCAACCACCTCAACTCCACCCTACTCACCTCCCTCAACACTTTAGCCCCCCTCAAAAATAAAACTGTTACTTTCAAGACCTCCTCACCCTGGTTCACACTCGCACTCCATAAAATGAAGCAGTGAGGCCGCCAACTTGAACGTCTTTCAAATAAATCATCCCTCACAGTCCATTACATAAGCTACAAACTCCATCTCAATGCATACAAAGATGCTCTTATTGCCGCTAAATCTGCCTACCTCTCCAACATCTTCATTGAACCCTCCCGTAACCCCAGGACCCTCTTCTCCACAGTTAACAAGCTCTTCAAACCCCGTGCTGATAACCTCCCTACTTCTACTTCCTCTACTTGCAGCTCATTCCTCCAGTTTTTCGCAGACAAAATTAACGCCATTAACCACTCCTTCTTAGCTCCATCTGATATACAAGCATCTCCCCCAACCTCCACTGCTACCATTTCTCCCCCCATCTCCCTTGACCTCCTGACTCCTCCTCCCCAGCGCCGCCTCTCCCAGTTCAACCTGGTTACCCCACTCCATCTGATCGGTTCCTCAAATCCCACAACCTGCTCCCTTGACCCTCTACCCACTCCTCTCCTGAAGTCCTACCTCCCCGTCCTCTGCCCCTAACCTTTTTTTCAACTCCTCGCTGTCCCATGGAATCGTCCCCTCTGCCTTCAAAACTGCTGCTGTTACTCCAATCCTCAACCTGGTCTTGATCCCTCCTCCCTCACTAATTACCGCCCCATTTACAACCTACCATTCCTCTCAAAAACTCTTGAACGCATTGTAGCCAAACAAATTCACTGCCATCTCCAAACCAACCAGCTTTATGAACCCCTTCAGTCTGGATTTCGTCCTCACCACAGTACAGAAACTGCACTCGTCAAAGTCCTCAATGACCTCCTCACCTCTGCTGACACTGGTTCCCTCAATATTCTCATCCTCCTCGACCTGAGTGCAGCCTTTGATACCGTGAGCCTCAACATCCTGCTCACCCGACTCAGGGACATTGGTATTGAAGGTATTGCACTCAGATGGCTCCAGTCCTACCTCACTGAACGATCCCACTTCATCTCCCTCCCCAACCACTCCTCTGCCACAGCCTCAGTGCGTTCTACAAGGATCAGTACTTGGCCCCCTCCTCTTCATCATTTACATCGTCGCCCTCGGTCAAATACTCATACGCCACTTCAGCCTGGACTTCCACTGGTATGCTGATGACACTCAGATCTACCTCAGCACCAAATCCCTCCATAACCCACCCCTTACCCACATTGATTCCTGTCTGACAGCTATTAAAACTTGGATGCAACATAACCTCCTCAAACTGAACAGCAACAAAACAGAACTACTCCTAATCGGCTCCAAATCCACCCTCAGCAAGGTCACTAACATAACTCTCACCATCGATGGCACCATTGTTTCCCCCTCCAATCAGGCACGCCACCTTGGCGTAATCTTTGACCCCACCCTCTCCCTCGAACCTCACATCCGCCAAACATTCAAAACCTCATTTTTCCACCTCCGCAATATTGCAAAAATCCTACCCTCTCACCCGCCACGCAGCCGAACGACTAATCCATGCCTTCATTTCCTCCCGCCTCGACTACTGCAACTCACTTCTTTAGGGCATCAGCACTACATCCCTCAACAGACTCCAACGGGTTCAAAATGCAGCTGCACGTCTCCTCACGCATACCAAATCATGGCATCACATTACCCCAGTCCTCAAAGACCTCCACTGGCTTCCTGTCTCCCATCGCATCAACTACAAAGTTCTGGTCCTCACCTACAAAGCACTCCACCATCTGGCCCCCCCTTATCTCACAAACCTTCTCACTCCTTATCAACCCCCACGGCCACTCAGATCCACCGCAGCCGGACTCCTATCCACTCCCACATCCACACTCTATAGCTTTGGGGACAGAGCCTTCTCAGTGGCAGCTCCTAGGCTCTGGAATTCCCTCCCCCAAGATCTCCGTGACTCTGAGTCCCTCACAGTCTTTCAGTCCCACCTCAAAACACATCTTTTCAACTCTGTCTACCCATAAGCCCCCCGCCCTCTCAATCAACTTCCTCTTGACTGCCTTTTTTTTGTTTATTTTACTATATTTATTTGTTTGCCTGTCCTTCTTTGTCTACCCTCCCTCATACTGTAAAGCGTCTTTGAGTTGTGAAAAGCGCTATATAAATAAAATGCATTATTATTACTACATTTGAATGCACAAGGTACAGTGTGAGAACTATACACATATGAGTGAATTAGGGTTTTTGAAAGGGGAAATTAAATATTGAACATGAAGGGGATTTCACTGAGCAGCTTTGTCTTTTTGATAGAAGTATTTATGTTACAATTAGAGCATGTATTGAGGATGTTGGGTCAGTTGTAAAACAGTTCTCTTAAACTATATTGAAAATGAGCATGTTTAGATGTCCCAATACTACCCAGGTGATCTCTGGGAAATGAAGTGCAGAAGTGCTGGCGGGTTTAAACTTAAAGTTCTGGGGTGCTTTTTAATTAAAGTAACCTTGAAGCCTCCCTCCATATCAAACCGTCTGCAGAGATTGATGAACAGTTTGCTGTCACTTTCTACCCCTAGTGGAAAGTATCAAGGCCTGGTTTGATGGAGTGTGTACCAGTTTGGCATCAGAGCGTTCTCCTTCCCCCGGAACATGGTGCCCACGTTGGTGGCGTGGTCTCTGGAGGAGTAGAAGTCGGTGTAATCTCCTGTAAAAACAGATCAGATGAGAGGAACAGGCTGGAAGAGTCTCATCTGCTGGATGTACTTCAGCACCAACTGGACTGAATGAACCAAGTCACCAGTGGTAGAGATGTAATACGATGCTAAACAGCGCCCTCTGGTGCTGATGGGCCCTGACTACATTCTACTATGGGAATGCTATTGCCAGTATTTATTTCTTCTTAGCAAATAAAGCAAATTACCTTTATTGTGCCTTTCTTTATGACCCAAAGAATAAAAAATGTTGGTGTTAGTTATCAAACATACATTTACAGTTGGTTAAAAACACAGAAATGTCAGTAATTACTAACACAATTAGTGTCATTTTTGCTCTGGACTATTTTTGCATATGAATCTTTAAAGTTTAAGCACATGAGAACATTTTAAGGCTCGTTATGTGTACATATAAATGTGGGTATTCGGTATGTGAGTAAAACCTACTGATGAAATCTTAATAACTAGGTGCCGTACACACCAGCATTCAGCGAGAAACAGCTGACACTTTTATGAAGTACAGTTCATCAGATAGGTCAGATTTCTGCACAGGGTATAGAATCAGAGCTGACTGCTATGTCTAACACAGTCACAAAGCCACTTGTTCTTTAGTGGCATTCTGAGAGGATGTTCCCTGGAAGGAGAGACTCACCGATGTCTGCAGGAAGGTGCATGGTCGCTGCACTCTGATGGACCAACGCTCTGCAGAGATAAACACAGAAACATATTTGTATATAAATGTATGATGGAATAAGCCGTCTCGAGAAAGGCCAAATAACCAGCCAGCATGTGAAAGAGGAGAAGCTTTGTGTATAAGATTAGGGTCCAACTGTACAAGATATTATTTTCTCAAATAGGTTTTGAAGGGCTTTTCCTTAGATGTTATATTTTCTAATGGTTTGTTTAACATGTACGGAAGAATATTAGGGCCAGAAGTGAAATCTTTTGAGTTCTGAGAATAAAAAGCTAGAACTGTTCTTAGGATTCGGACTTCAAGTCAGAATTTTGACTTGTTTCTCAGAAATCTGTATAATTTCAGAAATCCTACTTTAATTTCAGAACTGAAGAAAAAGCTAACATTTTGAGGGTTTGAGACACCTGTGACAGGTTAAAGGAGAAGAAAAATGTTGGGATATTAAAAAACTAACAATTACATTACATGTCACTTAGCTGAGGCTTTTATCCAAAGCAACTTAAGAACGTTTGAATACCGCAGACAGGCTAAATCGATAACATTTAAACGGATTACGTAATCAGGATACAAAAAAAGGTAACTGTATTCCCTTACAGTTACATACAAAAAAGGCGTAATCAGATTACTGCTACATTTCTAAAAGATTATTTTGATAATCACATAGGGTTAATGTTTGCATTTTTTCTAGTAACTGTAACAGAATCCATTTTTAAAGTCCCCCTCCCACTCCTGACTGACCTGCTGCGGAGGCTGACATCATCCCTCAGAGCGCTCTCATTGGCTGACAGAAGCCCTTGCACCGTGCTCCTGGCCTCCCTCCAGGACTCACAGCCCAGAGCCATGAAGGCGTTCAGAGTGGGCTGCAGACACAGAAAAACATTCAATATGACACATTAATGATGGGATAGATTCAAAGTATGCTTCTGAATGTAACCTTCCTGTTGTCCTCGGCTCACATTCGTCCTGCTCCTAATGTAATTCGGTTGGACTAAGGGGTTATAGATTGATGATTTCTTACTACATTATTTGCAAGAAAAAGTAATGATTACTACTTTAATTGAATGATGTGTTTAATTTAAGTCAATAGCATCTGGTGTCCTCAAATTTGAAATGTTTACAAACTTTGACATCGATAAATGTGCCCTTGATCTCTTTACTATAAGACAAATAATTCAATTGTGATGCCTAATCGGCCAAAAAATAAGGTTTTATTTTTCTGTAAATGATATGTATTGACCATAAATGCCAAAAACGAAAGTAAAACTTGGTAAAAAGTTGGGATGAAGTTGAATTAAAAGGTTAAATAGATTTGGGTGAGGATTTTTTTATATGCATTTAAAACAGTCAAACCAGGACAAACGTTCCACAGTTGATGGGAAGACAACACAAAGATTATCAGTGATAATAACATAGACAAATAAAATAATGATCATTAAATATTATTACACCAACCCCTTTACTCAACCCAAACACTTCTCAAATCATCACTGTAGTTTCTGTAAAGTGGCAGGAACATAATAATGTTGTATACAACCACAGGAACAGGACTGAGTGGACCTGCAATTTAAATGCCATACTGTAGTAAGATAATACTATTTCCCTGCCCATTAGAGTAAATTAATTGATTGATTAATTGATTAAAGGGTCAACTCTCTGATAACCCCTAGAGGTCAAAGGTACCTGGTCAAAGACGTCCTGATGTTGGGACAGCAGCGGCCCTCGGAACATGGACATGATCACACTGAGGTCCAGTATCTGGTCTCCAATGGCAACACCGACGCGGCGTTTGGGCTGGGGAAATAAAACACCTTGACATGAATACAGGTCATCACAGAACTATAATCAATAACTTTATTTGTTTGAACATGTTTTCAATATTTCAGCAAGGTAACCTGCATCACTTGAAGTATATCGGTTTTCCTGGGCTTATAGCTCAAAAACTTTTTTTTTTTGCATTTAAAGTATATAATACTCTATTTATATATATATATTGGTTATTAAGTTTAATGGATTTGGTCTTTGGGGATTTCTTGATGAGAGTGGCAAAGGTTCCTCGATGACCGTCTTTCCCCTGTATGAAATGCTGTCGTTTTGAAAAACAATAAGTACTTATTGTTTCTGACATGACACAAATCTGTGTAAAGCAGGTAGAAAGAAGACTGCACTTACATTATTATCTGTGGAGAATATTCCATAGGGCAGGTTGTGGAAGGAGAAGTCGGACGATGGATCCACTTTAATGAACGACATCTTCTCTCTGTTCTTCTCTGTGTTCCTCTCTGTGTTCCTGAGTTACTGAATGAGCTGAGCAGTAAGAGCTGCCAGATGTGGGACTTTGTACAGTCCCGCCTCACTTTGCACCGACCAATCACACGCAGCCTTCAGCATCCACCCCAACCCAGACCCTTGATAGTTAATGCCAACCAGCCTGTGGAATGACTCAGCGAAATGCACTCGATACTGATCAGCCTCCTCTGTTTTTAGAGCAGATTCTTAAATGCCTAGCAGTTGTTTATCAATTAAAAACACTTTTCAAAAAACATTGCAACTTAAGAGGAAGATTGAACTGAGCAATAGTTTCAGAAAATAACAAAATGTAAAAACAGAGGGTTTGGGTTTCATATGATAGGTATAACATGAAAGAAAAATAAGGATTTAAAGACTCCTTAAAGATATTAAATGAAAATAGGAAAGAGTTAAGACATCAAATAATAATAACAGAATAAATCAGTTGAAAGTAAATGGGATTGAAAGCTTTTCATTTTGTAAAACTATTCCAAACAACGTGTGGTTAAAATCAAGAGTTACTCGAGTATAAACTGACTGGTCTAATGGAGAAAAGCTTTTTCTTTAAGGTTAAAATGTACTGAGAGAACTTTGCCTGAAATTGTGAGCGATGCCGTTGTTTAAATATTGTTTTGTGTTGGTGTTGGTGTTGCATGATGGTGGTAATTAAGTTGCTCTGTTAGAATGGTCTTTCTTCAGGATTTACAACGTCTTTACAACTGCACAAACGGCAGATCACATGTCTACTTCTGCCTCTGAAGCTGAACAATTATTTGTATGAAGACTTGGTTTCTGACATGGGCCCTACAAAACTGCTACAGGTTATCAGAATGTCAATCATTAAGTTTTAATGTGCAATATTATTGACTTCTGCATCAAGATATTTCAAGAGAGAATTGCATTAGATCTAAGAATGGATTCCCCCCATACACTAGTTAATTGTTACAGAAATATTATTAATATCCTGTCCTATAATTTGTCCAATTGCTTTTTTGTAGAGGGAGCCATTGCTATGCTAACTTCATGGTCAGCCTACTGTACATCATCACTGCACCACACCACTTTATGAGCATGGTATATTTAGTATGCTAATTTGTTCAACAGGTGGTCAGTATTTGGTCACAACAGTGCAACGTCAGTCCTATTTGATTAACTTACACTAATAATTGAAAATATTGCCAATATTAGCAAATATATGTGCATTTTTAGGTGGTTTCGGAGTGTGTCAATGGGAAAACAGATAGAAAACACGGGTTTTATAAGTACAAATATGTCACATTTGCCACAAAACAGTCCTGTAGTCAGTGAAAGCAGAGAACGGCAGGTGGATGGTTTCTGTTCAGAAAAATTGTCGGGTGAAAGTATCAATTTTCCGTTTTTACGACTGTCAGAAAATGCACCAGGAGACCAAGCATTGCAACCATGGAAACCTCAGAGTCTGCTTGACCCTGGCCTCTCACCTTCCATTAAACTACATTATATACAACTATAATCCTAATACTCAGCAAAATATTAAAATAATAAAACCCCTAAAACTCGATTTTGACAAAAGGTCTCGTTACATGTAAAATATGAGCTAATAATTTCATCAAGGCACACAGGTGCAACGTTTGACAAGGGCCAAACATATTTCTATTGAGAAACATACAACCATACCACAAATAAATTCTTCAATGATTGCAAAATACAGTCTTGGTATATTTCAAATAACGTATAGAAATGCGTGAAATTACTGACCGTAATCCTCCAGTGTCCATATGGACAGCATCTGGCTCGGCTGTTTGACCACATTCCTCCGTTGATGCATTTTAAGCTAAATAAAGCCTTTTTTAAATAAAAGACACAATATAAAATATATTTTCTGCAGTATGTTTACTGTATCATCCTGTCTGTCAAATACATCCACTGTACCATGTGATCATATTTGTTCCTAAAGAAAGCATATTAAACTTCACTGCAGTCCATGTAAAGAGAAATACTTACAGGTATTATTTTAGGCTTCCTACAAAGAACAACAAAGGATTGATTTTAGCAGTGTTGTTGGGACACAGATCACTGATTAGTTTACTAAAAATAGTAATAGCACATAGTAAAAATACTCCTACAAAGTCTTGTAGAAGTACAAATGGCATCAAAATATACCCGGTGTAACAAAAATTACTCATTATGCAGAACAGACCATTTCAGAATAATATGAAATGATTGTGTTTTATGAAATGATGTTGTAGCTGGTAAAGGTGGAGCTAATTTTAACCTTTTGAAATGTTACTGCTGGGAAGATTAATCTATAATAATTTTATATCATAATTTATTTGTTTATCTAAATTTGCAAAGTAACTAAAAGGTATTAACAACATTTACTGAGAAAAAAGTAAAATATGTGCCTCCCAATTGTATTGGAATAGAAATATAAAGTAGAATAACATTTAAATACCCAAGTTGGCCAAGTACCTTAGTATTGTACTCAAGTAGAGTACTTGAGTTACATTGATAGTTATCATTCAACAATTTATATGTTATTATACAAATTGTACATATTGATTATTTTGAATTTTAGTCATATGTAACAAAGTATTTTTACAATGTGGTTTTATACTTTCACGGAAGTAATAAAATATCTTCCTCCTTTTTCCACCACTGCTAAAATCTAATTCCATACTTTAAAGTAGGAACAAAATGACCTCCATGAAAATATATTTTGCAAGGTGTTTCTTGGCAACTCTAGATACAGGTCAGAGTGTGAGGAGTTTTCTTCAGGGGAAAAACTAAGTTCACCTTTAGATCTGCTCTCATTTGTCTTCACAGCATCACAAAACCAATCAGCAGTAATCAAACCATGTTTGGTATTGGGGGGGGGGGGGGCTTCAAATGTATTGAATATTCTGTCCAGTCAGCTCTTCCTGTGCTTCATGTTTCTAGAGTCAGGTTGCTGTTCCTGCTTTCTCAGTCTGAATATTTTCAAAGATATTTTTTCCAGTTTAGGATCCATCACCGTGGTAACCTGTGTGCCGTCAGCCACTTAAAGATGGCAGTATCTGCTGGTAGATCTCCGTCATGTTGAGTTCCTGGAAGGCTGCGCTCAGCTCTGGTAACGACTCGTAGCTCTTCACCACGAAACCCTGCAGCCTGACAGAGAGGTGGAGAGGAACACAATATGAGGAGAATTGTGTAGTCAGACCTGGGGGGACCAAGTACATGCAACAGGAATACTTTATAAGATAACCAAAATACATTTATAAAAAGATGTAACATATAATTAATGGTTATATATATTTTTTTATGGGGATTACTAGCAAGATTACAATAATTGTTACACTACATTTTGAAGTAAGGATACATGTATATTACAAAGCACATGCTTACACATTACAAGTCTAAAGGCACATAGAGTAAAAGAAGCATTCAAGACTGGTTTCACTATTTTAAAATACAGTAAGTGGACACATTTAAACAAGAATACTGCGTATGGTTTTATTAAAGCATTAAATAAAGCTAAATGAATTAGCTTTATGGTTTTCACTTTTTGGGCGACATTTATTTTCTCTTGTATTTATCTGCATTGCATTTGATATACAGGTAATCAAAAGTAATCAGGTAACATTACTTTTGTATAGTTATACTTAGATTAGTTTAATGATGACATGTTGTACAGGTAACTAGTAATTGTAGAGGAATACATTTTTAATCTCAAACTGCCCTGATTTCTTTCTACAGCAGTGATTGTACGGTGGCCCTGAAGTGCAAGTCAAAACAGCATTTCAGAAAACACCACAGCATTTCAACTTATACGGAGAGGGTATTCCTTTAGGGAGAACACTTCTTGTTTGTGATTGGACAGAGCCAGCCAGAGAAGCACTGCTGTGATTGGTTGTTTTTGCTGCCAGTCAAGAAATTACGCTTCGTGATTGGTCAACACCCGACAGCGCAACATGTCCCGAAACATCAGCCGTTAGCTGTTAGCACTCAGAGCTCACAGCTCCTCATATCTGTTCAGAAACTAGACAAAAGTTAAACAAGTACAAACCACAGACTGTCATAGTGAATACAGTCGCTGCTTTATTTCTGTCTGTATAGGCCGTTGTTGTGAGCGTGGATGGAGCAGCTATAGGTTAGTTTATCCTGATCAATCTGATCTCAATTCAGAAAACACGCCTTTTTTAAAAGGTTTTTCACCTGCCGTCTGTCTGCAGACTTGTCAGAGCATTAATTCATGGTTTTTACTAACCTTTATCAGTATGTTGTTACTTCGGCATCATTTTGAAACATTTATTACAATTAAATCACGGTAAAATATGTTCATTTTGTTGTAGTTGGTATCTACCATAGTATTTGCATGGTTATAAGCCCCGCCCCCTCTCCAGCGCGTCTTGTTTGAATGACAGGAGTAAACACAGCTGACAGCCGCGGTGAAACCTGAAACTCGAGCTATGCGAATATTCGGGGCTTATATCCATGTAAATACTATGGTAGACTACAACAAAATGAATATATTTGACCGTGATTTAATTGTAATACACATTTCAAAATGATGCCGAAGTAACAACATACTGATAAAGGTTAGTAAAAACCATGAATTAATGCTTTGACAAGTCTGCAGACAGACGGCAGGCGAAAAACCTTTTAAAAAAGGCGTGTTTTCTGAATTGAGATCGGATCGATCAGGCTAAACTAACCTGTAGCTGCTCCGTCCACACTCACAACAACGTCATACAGACAGAAATAAACCAGCGACTGTATTCGCCATGACACAGACAGTCTGTGGTTTGTACATGTTTAACTTTTGTCTAGTTTCTGAACAGATATGAAGAGCTGTGAGCTCTGAGTGCTAACAGCTAGCGGCTGATGTTTGTTTGTGATGAGTCATTTCTTGACTGGCAGCAAAAACAACCAATCACAGCAGTACTTCTCTGGCTGGCTCTCTCCAATCACAAACAACAAGTGTTCTCCCTAAAGGAATACCCTCTCCGTATAAGTTGAAATGCTGTAGTGTTTTCTGAAATGCTGTAGTGTTTTGTGAAATGCTGTTTTGACTTGCACTTCAAGGCCACCGTAGATTTGTCAGTGATACATACCCATGTCTAGCAGAGGGAGACGAAGGGCTTTCAATGAGGACCTTCATCATCCTCTCTTTGCACTTCCTGCCTGAAGAATCCACATCCACCTTCACTGTCTTCAACAGGCGACAAAACTCCTGAACAGAAATCAGAATAAACCAGAACAAAAAACCTACAACATTAATTTAACTCGAGTAACTGTAGCAGTAGAAACCAACGTTACAAGTTATTTAAATAAGGGTTATAACCATAGACTATATATTTAAACCTTTATGAAACGTCTCCTTCAGTTTTGGCTGCTATCACTAATACAGGACAATAGTGTTAATGTTATAAAGACGTTGTTGCTTTTTATTGTCTGTTTATTGTTATTTTATTGCCCATAGACTGCACACAGAAAATAGCTTTTAGTTACAAAATGTTTAAGTTATCTTTCTCTTTTAGACATTATTGTCTTTTTTTACGCGGCCTCTGACTAATTCTCTAATTGTATTTTCATCTACAGTATCTCCTGATGTAAGAAGTGCAGAGGTTAAAAGTTGCGGTAATCTAGATACTAAAATAAATATTGTTCTCCTGTGTCGAGCAAAAGAGGAAGTCATGTGACGTTTTTACAGAGTAACAGAGTAACAGAGGGGGAGGCTGGGAGGATGGAGGGGTGACAGAGTGTCTGATTCTACACCAGAGAGCGCTGTTCAGATCAGTGCTGCGAAATACAGGGGAATAGTGTAAATATTTTAAATAATAGATATCACTTTTAAAGCTGATTACTTACATGAAGGCAATTACCTTTCCTGTTACCAGTTTTTAATTTAACAAATGTGCTTATTTGCATACATTTCCAGAGCAGAAATGGGACCATTGGATGAAGCCAATTTTAAAATGATCTTTTCCTTAATAAACATAATAGAGTCGAACGTGTTTTAGTAATAAAATGTAATATAAATCTGGCAGTGAATGATATATGACAGATACTTCTATAGAAAGTGCTGCTGAAATGGAGATGTACGTTGGTGTGTGATTGTCATTGCCATGAAACTTCCCCAGTTGGACACACTACACACATTAAGACAAATATTTTAGGCGTAGGCTTTATATTATTAAATATGTGCTTCTGAAGTGGAGATTTATAGTAGATGGTATGAGAAGAATTTTGAGAAAGATATGTATTGTAAAATGATTTACATTTTGCATGACACCACATTACTACTTCACCATAAGGTAACACCATTTACTTAAATATTTCACCATGAAACTTTATGATTGATACCTTAAATTATGATTATTTTGTATTACGAATGTTACTGAAATGTTATGTTTAAATATTAAAATGAGACATGATCTAATGTTAACCTCTGGTGAATTTAGGAAACTCAGACATTGTTGGTAAAACACCTAAATATGTTTATGTGGGAGCACATTACTCCTGTTCTGGCTGCCTTACACTGGCTCCCTATAGAACACAGGATAGAATATAAAATTCTTCTTCTCGCCTACAAAGCCCTTAATGGGCAGGCGCCATCTTACCTTAAAGAACTCATTATACCCTACTGTCCTACTAGGGCATTGCGTTCCAAGAATGCAGGGTTGTTGGTTGTTCCTAGAGTCTCTAAAAGTACAATGGGAGCCAGAGCCTTTTCTTATCAAGCTCCACATTTGTGGAATCAGCTTCCAGTTTGTGTTCGGGCGGCAGACACCCTATCCGTTTTTAAGAGTGCGCTTAAGACCTTCCTTTTTGATAAAGCTTATAGTTGATAAAATAATCTAATAAGAGTGCATTGACGTAGACACCTTGTGCCTCTTCACCTATACATCTTAGTTCTTACTCTTTTTCCTTACTGATGGTATGTCATTTGGTTGTGTGTGTAGACGGTGGAACCCGGGAGAGGCATATACGTGCCTTGATCCCTGCCGAGTCGACGCACAACTGTTGATTGGTGTCAGTGCCAGAAACACTTTTTAGGAGCAATGCGCTCATGGTATAGATGTGGCACATACATCTTAGTTCCTACTCGTTTCCCTCACCCTATCCTAAGGGAGTGCATGTACGTAGACACGTTGTGCCTCTCCACCTCTGTTCCTTACTTGCTACCCCTTTCCCTCAACCTATCTTAACCGGTTAAGCCTCGAGCCTGTTTTTCAGGTCTCAGGCTCGAAAATGACATTCCCAGAACAAATTACCATAACTTCACTTCTAAAAAGGGGTAAATTAATAATCTTTTTTGTCAAAGCAATGATAAACCTGTGAGTTGGATGTAGAAGAGTCAGAATCAATATACATTTTTTTATTTTAAAGAAAATTCAGATTGAACATAGTAAAAAAATGTGCATTAGCATTTTTTCGCTCAGGGCTCATTTAGACGCTTCTTGTTGTGAAACTTGTGTTTTGTTTCGGTAAAAATGGTTTATATCGCTAGTTAGCTTAGTTTCTTCCCGTTAAGTGAGTATGACATAGTTTATTAATTTGTTTTCTTTAGACCCGGACAATTCTCCCTCAATAATATAATACATTAACCGTGCTTTACCTGAACCTCATCATGACACTAGAGAGGACGGCAGGATTGTCATTTCCCGTGCTCAGTGAATGCAACAGAGGCAAGACACCAGACCAATCATCAGAGAGTTGCATGGAAATAAACGTGTCTTATTGGCTGACAGGTACCTATCCTGTGACAATGTTTAAACTGTCAGTCGGACTCTGAGTTTTTGAAGATGGACATAAGCACATTTTTTCTTAAAAAAGACGACGATGTGAGGCTTACACAACAACTCCAGAGCCACCACTTGCGCCAGGTAAATAAGGTATGTAAATGTCAGTAAACTTGCGAACATGCAAGCAAAGCATAAATTACAGCTACGTTGTTGACGTTACTTTGAATCGCGCAGATAAGCTAAACCGTTAGCAAGTAGCTATAGCTAGCCAGAGATATTAAATTAACACTTTGTCATACAATATAAATGTTGTGTTTTTAGCGTTACCTGGTGATTTTAAAAAATCCTCTGGAAAATGTTGACTTACTGTCGACATGAAGCTACCTTACATTACACCGTCACAGGGGAGTGATTTGTAAAATATCCATAAAGAAAAAGAAAATCTGTTTACAGTTCTGTTTCATATGGGTGTTGAGAGATGTATCCATAGATCTCTTAATTTTGCTCTCAAATTGCACCAGATTGATGCTTTTAACTTCAATATTTAAAAAATCTTCCCGGGGGAGGTCCACCCCCCACTTATTAAAAAAATAGCACTTTACCCCTGCTTACACCTATATGCCGTGAGCTTGATTATCGAGCCTTCATTGTAACAGTCGCGGGTGTACTGTCTATGTGCATGTGGGGAGTGTTGCATTCCACTGTAGCGCCCGATACCTTAATGTACCTTAATGAACTGTGGGCTAAGCCCAGAATGTTTCCAGGTCCAGGAAACACCCCTGCCTGAGACACAGTTTCGTGGAAAAAAAAAGCGTCCATGTACGTAGACACGTTAGTTTTGCTGCAATAGGCTTAGACTGTCGGGGGACACCTTACTTCTTCCTTCTGTCTGTCTGTACCTGTTTACTCTCATGTTCCGAATAACCCAGCTTCCCCCAAATGTCTTTTTGGTGCCTCTCTACGCCGGGATCCTGAGTCGTGGCTGATCCTGTTGCTGCGGTCCTGTGTCCTGGATCCTGAATCATGTGTCCTGGATCCTGCACCCTGAGTCCTGGATCCGGAGTCCTGGATCCTTAGTCCTGAGTCCTAGATCCTGTGTCCTGGATCCTCTATCCTGAGTTCTGGATTTGAGTCTTGGACTTCAATCATCAATCAATGTTTATTTATATATCCCAATATCACAAATGTTACATTTGTCTCAGTGGACTTCACAGTTTGTACAGAATATCAGTATGACAATACGACACCCTCTGTCCTTAGACCCTCACATCGTACAAGGAAAAACTTCGAAAAAAGGAAAAGCCCCAACGACTTTGAGTCGTGGCTGAACCTGTCACTGTGGTCCTGCCTGACTCATCATACTACTTCTCTGATGGCTCCCACAGGATTGTTGACATCCTCGTGGATTCATCTTCTTATTACAGACACATGCATTTCCAAACATTTGGACTACCTATGTTGCAAATGTATTATCTTTTCAATTTACACACGGCATCTATTGCACGTCTGTCCGTCCTGGGAGAGGGATCCCTCCTCTGTTGCTCTCCCTGAGGTTTCTCCCATTTTTCCCTTTAAACTGTGGGTTTTCTCTGGAAGTGTTTCCTTGTACGATGTGAGAGTCTAAGGACAGAGGGTCTAAGGAAAGAGGGTGTCGTATTGTCATACTGATATTCTGTACAAACTGTGAAGTCCACTGAGACAAATGTATCATTTGTGATATTGGGCTATATAAATAAACATTGATTGATTGATATATTTACTTTTTCTTCCTTCTTTCCAGTAGTCTTAAAGAAGACATGTAATTAGAGCAACATATCCTAATCTATAGCCTATACCTCAGGGTATTCACTGTGTTGTCTTAGTGAACCTGCTGTATATGTTAACATGCATGTCATCATGTCTGCTGTCGTACCTTGATGCTGGGCCTGGCTCCCAGCAGGATCACCAGTATGCAGCGTCCCAGTAACAGCCTCCCAGTGAGCTGCAGCTGCAGGCTCCAGCGCTGCAGCTGCCCCACGTACCGGGTCCGGGAGCGGATGTGGTCCAACGACAGCACCGCCGTCCACTCCTCCTCCTCTTCTTCCTCTTTCACCTCCTCACACATCTCTGTCACCTCCACACACTCCTGATTCCAACACAGATCCAATCAAAATGAAATGAGTTTTCTTTTAAAGGTCTCCTATCATGCAAAATGCACTTTTTTACGTCTTTTATACATTAACATGTGTCCCCAGTGTGTAAGGTAACCCAAAAGAACGGGGGTACAGCAGATTTGCTGCCGATATGACGTAATATCTGAAATTTAGGCTGGCTTTACGCCCACGACCCTATCAGAAACGTTGCGATCAGAAACAATGCCCGACTGTTTGTTTACATTAGCAAGCATCGCTAACACTCAAAGCTAACCTGTACTTGAGAGAGAATGGCCCTTTCTCATTTCTCTAATTCCCCTCCTCGACTCCTATCCTCGACTCCTATCCTCAAGACTTAGTCCCGCCCACAGGTGATGCGAGCGGAGGACTGAGGAGGGGAACCGAGGAGGGGAAGCAGCAGGCGGTTAGAGAAATGAGAACTCCTCTCCTCTGAGCGGTCATTTTAAAGAGACGTCCATTAATGATGACAGGAGGCACAGCAGCCCTCTGTCTGATGGACAGATGTGTTCATGACCACTTATATATTTACTTTGATTCATTCACAGTGCGGTATAATGAGACAACAGGCTACAGATGCGGACACACACACACACACAAATATATTTATATAAATATATACAATTTCAGAATCAAACAAGTATGAGAGCACTCTCATAATAACGTAACACAATCAGAGACTGGATAATAACCCCCCCCCCCCCCACCCTCTCTCTGGTCACTGAAATGGAGAATTGAAATGTTGGGCCAAAAGTTGTATTTTCAAGTATTAAAAGTAATCAGAGGACACAAAACCAACTGAGACCCGTCTGTCCACCGCATCTACGCACTGTACAACACACCTACACACACACACACACACACCTACAGCTCCTAAAGCAAAATCAGGCTACAGCCGTTGTGTATTTTATTAACACATCTGTCTATCAGACAGAGGGCTGCTGAGCCTCCTGTCATCATTAATGGACGTCTCTTTAAAATGACCGCTCAGAGGAGAGGAGTTCTCATTTCTCTAACCGCCTGCTGCTTCCCCTCCTCTCTCCTCGGTTCCCCTCCTCAGTCCTCCGCTCGCATCTCCTGTGGGCGGGACTAAGTCTCGAGGATAGGAGTCGAGGAGGGGAAATTAGAGTATTGAGAAACCTCTCTAGTCTGTCCGCCGCATCTACGCACTGTACAACACACACACCTACAGCTCCTAAAGCATAATCAGGCTACAGCCGTTGTGCATTTTATTATGTGAAGCACTAAATGGTCTTAGAAAAATATGGACTCTTTGTTTGTAGATATCTACTAAACTAAAGCAAATAAAGAGAGTAGGCCTGTTAAACTGAGTGATATATATTATACACACTGCTCTGCTTTCTGCACGGACCTCACAGCTGTTCTCTCTGGAAACATCGCGTCGCGATGAGAGCAGTTAATAAAATAATATCCAGGGGATGCATGCAGAGCTGTCATCGGCTGAGATAAGTCCGGCCGTGCGTCACGACTCTTTGAAATATCACTGTTGTCGGAAATGCATCCACGAAGGAGCCGTGGAGGACCCATCAGTGTATCCTAGATTATAGCTCCTCCAGAAGCTCGATCCTCGATGTGCATTTAGAGAAATGAGATGTCCTTCAACATGGCGCGCTGAAATTCATTTCCGGGTCACTACCGGAGGGTCGAGGAGGGGAAATCTTTGAAATGAGAAAGGGCCTATGTGTAAAGAAGCAGGAATTACAAAAGAAACTCACCTTGTAGTAAACCTGCGAGAGAGAAAGCCTTTGAGCTGTTTCAAAAATAATCCTTGATGTGGTTTGGAACATGATATGCCGTTTAATCAGGGCAGCATTTAGCTGAGTTTCTGCTGGTAGAATTTTCCTGCATGAGCTCCCCCCCCCCCTTTTTTTTTTTTTTTTTTTTTTTTTTTTTAAAATTACATTTGTTTTCAAAGCTACGGACCAAGAATCAGCACTTTAGTAACAGGCCTGAAATAGAGGGGTATGAGGTATGGCTAGAATGGGTGATCTGTTTGGTATTTTGAGCAAAACACTTCATAGAAATGTTTTTTACATATTTGTATATATCTGAGACCTATAATATACACCTAAACATAGTATATTAGGAGACCTCTAATGGGATAGTGTTGCTCATTAGACAGGAAGTGTGTTTACCTGCAGCCGCTCCACCAGCCGGTGCACCATGGGCTCTGGAGGCAGAGCTGCAGCCTGACCCAGCAGCTTCTGTCTGATGTCCTGACACTGAGTCCTGGAGAGACTGCTGGAGGAGACCGAGATGGCAGGGGGGCACAGAGGGTAGGGGGGGTGCAGGTGGAACAACAGACTCACGTCCAGCCTCCTTTCTCCTCCAACGCTGCTGTTGATCTGCACCATGAGTCCATCCTGAGCTGGGAGCCAATTAGAGACGTGTTCAAGCACTGCTACAGCACCAACAGATGCTATGTGTGAGGGTTTTAATTCTGAGGATATAATATCAGACCGCTTTGAAGGGTCAAACCCCATATCTCAGCAGTAACAATAATGTAGAAGGTGATAAACAATAAACCTTAAAAATAACATGACAAATCTTATACTTGAAGTTGGCAAATTACACAAACATATTCTAGATGTTCTAAGTCCTTCCGAAAAAATTTATTCAGATTTAAATCCCTGATCGATAGAGGGTCTTGAGCATGTTTCTCTTCAGTGATGGTGATGCGATGTTAAATGTCTGTTTCCTTCTTCCATGTCTTAAATATTTGTCCATGTTGATGTTGCAAATTGAGCTGCTGTGATGATGGAAAAATGCCAGACTCAATCTGAAAATAAAGTATTATCGTATCCTATCGTAAAATCGATACAAATAATGACAAACAAAAAAAGTACAATATTATATTTTAATTAATTTGTACATGTAGCCCCGATAAGCTGGATTGATTTTTTTAGATGTTATTGTTTATTTATATATTAAAATATATATATATATATATTTATCTATTTCCTTTTCCTATTTCATTTGATTGACATTTCTATTTGTTCCCACTATAATTCTGAATGTTCAAAAATGTGCAATAGAGAGACAAGAAAAAATAAGTAAAAAATAATGCAGATAAAACCGACTGAAACGGTCTTTGGTACTCTTTCACTATTAAACGTATTAAAGAAGTTTATGAACAGAAAACAACTTTATTTGAATCATTATTAACATATGGCCTATTTGGAAGTGTTTGCATAGAAGTTTGTGGAAACTTTAACTAAATGTTCCTGTCTCTTGATGCCAGTGGTGTTAAGTAACTAAGTACATTTAATCAAGTTCTGTTCTTAATTACAATGTTGAGGTAATTGTACTTTACTTAATTATTTCCTTTTAGCTATTTTGTTCTTCTACCCCTCTACAGTTCAGAGGTAAATGGTGTACTTTTACTCCACTACATGTATTTAATACCTTTAGTTACTTCACAGATCTGGATGAATGATGTGAAATATAATCAAGTGTTGAATCAGACTTTAGTTCCACCTGGAGTAAATCCACCAGCTACCCTGCAGTATACAAAGTCATTCAAACTAGCTGCACCTTTACCAGCTTTGAGAACACTTTCATGATCAATCATTATAAAACATATCATATATATTATTCTGAAATGGACCAATCTGCACAACGACTACTTTTACTTTTGGTACTTTAACTATATTTTGATGATAACATTTTTCTACTTTTACACTCGTGTACTTCAGAGTATAATATCTGAGTACTTCCCCGCCCCCTCTCCTCAGGCCTCATGGTGTTTTCAGAGGCTGGAGGTGTCTCCAGTGCCAGGCTGCTCTCACCATCCTGCTGCCGGACTCTGAGCTCTCCCTCCCCGCAGTAGATGGAGGACAGCACGGAGACTTCCTCTAGAGCAGCTTCAGACATCATCTACATATTAACACCATGCTGAGAGCGTCTGCACTTTAACCAGCGATACTTTCTTTAAACACGGTATTTACAGTCAAACTTCACAAGTATCAGTGATAAGTTGACAAGCATGTCCGCTTCTCCGACCTTACCGTCCGGGTAGCTCCCATGGATGTATAATAAGAACTGGATAGTACAGCGTGGGAGGCGGGGCCTCATTCATTCCTATTAGAGTTGCTCATTGGCAGAAGGCTTGTTTGAGACGCGTTGCGGCTCGCCTCGAAAGTAGACGAGAATAGCCGATCGCAGCCGGGGGAGGTCTCAAAAAGCTCGCCTGAAGTCGGACAGCTCGGAGTCGGCTTCTTCTTCTTCTTCTTCTTCTTCTTCTCTCGGTTTTTTGGCGGATTGCAAACAACTTTAAGGTGCATACCGCCACCTCCGGAGTCGGCTTGACTCGGTTTACATTTATAAAGAATGCACACATGTGTTTAATCGTTAATGTCAGATATGTATTAAGTAAATACATGTGTTCCTGCTCAAGATTAGATTCAACTTTATTGTTATTGCACATATTACAGGTACTGAGACAACGAAATGCAGTTTAGCTTCTAACCAGGAGTGCAACAAGCAGTGAAGTGAAAAGTAATGTACACAATCTACAGAATAAAATATAGAATGAATTGAATGATGAATAAACAGTGAGGGGTATGAATACACTAGATATCAGCCTGTGAGCAGTATGAACAGTGTGTATGAATATGCTAAGATATATAAAGTATGAAAACGGTAAGCAGTGCAAGTATAGTATAACATATATAGATATTAATTTCATGATGATAAACATTGTGGAACAATGATGAAAAATGGGAATGGATGTGGCGACGTAAAACTGACACAAAACAACAACAAACTTTTGCCGAGCCAATTGGAGAGTTTCATCAGCAGCACGGGGTGAAAACCACCAATGAGCGCTCAGCTCGAGATACCAGCGAGTCGTTTCCCATCAAGCATTTCGCTTCCGCAGCCCGTGGAGAGGAACTGCGCCGCCTCGCCGCGCCTCGCTCTCAAGGCGTCTTTGTCCCGCGAGATTTCAACGTCTCATGTAGGCGAGCCTCCAGAGCAAGTCGGACAAAATGACTAACCATCATGCAACGCACTAGTAAGACGTTGATCGAAATTGCGCAGGTCTGCGTCGGTCTCGCTTGTGTCTCGCTTGTGTCTGTCACCATAGATATATATAAACACTAGATGGCTCATGGGAGATTTTCCAGCGTAGCTCACCGGCCGCCATCTTGCTACAGTCAACAACTCTGGTACGCGCTATGGTAGCTGTTGTAAGGTGAGTGATCTGCACAAAAATACTCTTAAATCGCTGAAATCTTGACTGATTTACAAACGGTTTTTTTTTTATTATAAACGTTATTAGCATGGCTATGATACAGGATGCTTGGACATGTTGAAATTGCAGCTTTTCTTTGTGTATGTGGTTGTATTTATTAGCTGGCTAATAACAAGAGGCTGTGAGTGAGACCTAGTATTACAAAGTTGACCCAGCAACTTTACACCAGTGGGAGAGGCAGAACTGCTCTTTCTTTTCAACATAATTCAAGTTACACATGATTTCTTCCAAGTGGTTGGGCATGTTAAAAACATCTTACATTTTAGATACATTATGATACAGGAAATTGCTGGCTTTGTGTTTACAGAAGTACCTGACTATGCCTGACTTTTGTGCAGCCTACGGCTGCTCTAATCACCGCAGTCTGCAAACAAGAACCCGTGGAATCACCTTTCACGTGTAAGATATGACAATATTATGACTATAATTAGGATAATCGTTAATTACTTAGTGGATGTATGTACATTACAAGTCCTGCTACACAGGATCAGTAGGGCTATGTGAGATAATAGTTGTAGCGGAAACTTCTGTGTAGCTATGCTGTGGGAGTCACCGACTCAGGAAGGAGACACGGGAAGAGCAGTAGCTTTGATGTCAAACACATGATGGTTTATTTGGAGTTAACGGCCGGAGGATTCACATCACAAGTCCAAGAGTCAGAGGTTCTGACTTCACGGTAGAGTTGCCACGTCAATTCTGGAGAGCCTCTCTCTTGCCAGCCCATCTAACTGGTTTCGCAGAGAGTAAACAACATATTTTGAGGAGATAGCCTAAACAGTGTGGGAACACAGAGCTACTTGCCTCGGACACCTATGACCTCGAAGATTTTACCTTGGAGTCCACAAATACAGAGAAGGAAGTGTCCCAGTGTACCCACAACACAGACCATCTGTATCCCAGTATTGACCGGTCACAGAATGGGAACAATAACATTATTGGCTAAGCCGCCTGTGTCCTTAAAGAAGGTAAACAGACATCAAGGTTTGTCCTGTATGTTACTAATTGGCGTCTTATGATAATTATTTCCACAACAGTCCTCTCTTTTTATCATTTATGATAACCTAAAAACATTAGTCTAATAATAATTTGGTCAATAATTAACTCAATAGGCGTCTCCAGATTCGAGTGTGGTCTCACCTTACATTAATTACATCACAAAGTAGAATAAGATTGAAACATTCAATCACAATGATTGATACAGCCAATCATAATAGAAAAAATCATCTCTCATCAGTGTTTGATCATCTTTTGTCAAAAGCATAATAATGAACACACATAAAACACAGGTGCACAATGGCTAAATATTTGTTTTTAAACTAATATATTTGATCATTTACCATTAGTTAATTTCATTCATCAAACTATCAAATCAAAACCAGCTTGCCGCTTTAAAGATTTACTTCAAGGCAATCACTAGTCACAAGCATGTTAAAACTCAGGATCGTAAGAGATCCAGCTAAAAATGTACAGTTAGAGTATAGAATTCACACTGGTGATTTGATCAATCTGTAATCTGCAAAAGTGCAGTGTCCTCAATTTTAGGATTACTTTTACGTTTACTTAAATACGCTTTAGTCAAGAGTAAGGCACTTAGTGAAATCAATACATTCATTTTAGTCAAGTACATTGTTCAAAATCTGAAAAGGAAAAGTTAGGCAAATATTCAAAGACTTTTGTAAAAACCTGGAAAGGAAGGATTAAACATTTTTAAACCTTGAATTATTACATTTGTAAATGCTACCACTGATCTGTACCAAATTAAGTCTATCAAGTATTCCTATTAGCCATACTTACCTGAGCTACTTATGGTACTTGGAAAGGATTCTTCTGTGTTTATCTAATGTTGAGAATATCAATTTCTTTAAATTATACTTCTCTAATTTGAGGATCAAATATGCTACATAATTGTTATATGAAATATTATAAATATTTGTTTTGGGCCAAAACTGAAATTAATCCAGTACTTGAAACATCATTGTGCATGGATAATACATTAAAGAGTAGTGTTGTTAAGCCTGATTGCTGGATTCAAATCCACTAGAGTGCATGCACCTATCCAGAGGGGAGCCAGAACTTGATAGAGCTTGTCGCCGCACAACCAAACGTAATCTTGTGGCGAGCTAAACCCCACATCACTGGGCCAGGCCAGTTGTATTGCTCACGGTTGCGTTTTCCCAGGCGAGCCGTCATCACGAGGTGGGAATGCTCCATGGGGTGTGTGTGTGTATTCCTTCGGTCGATTTTGTGACACGGACAGTCAGACTCCGCACACCGGTAACACAAACGAGGAACCAGAGAGCATATGGAACCGCTCAGCTGGCACTCGCTCGTGATACCTTGTGTGTAGTGTGTTTTGGTGTATGTAGTGCAAGTGTGGTGCAAGTTGGTGATTAGGACACATCACTTGTTGTCATCTACTTTTGTTGGTGATTAGGACACATCACTTGTTGTCATCTACTTCTGTTGGTGACTAGGACCTTGCAGTGGCTGGCGTGGACCCACGTAGCTCTCTCTCTCTGACCCTTGGCCTTCAGAGCTGTCCTATTGTAGTTATTGGGTTAACACTTGATAGGGATGTTTTCCTGAGTGCAGACAACTCAAGGTAATGGATTAGCACATTATCATTTAAATACAAAAATAGGATAGGCCCCTCAGAATTATTTGGGAGCCTTCCTGAGACATGCACATGCATAAATGTAAGGTTTGTGTTAGTCATTTAACATGCAAGAATCATAAACTCATCAGTCCAAAGTAGAGAAATGTTATTGTAATTTAAAAGTGAGCTAGTCCCTGTGGATATAACCCCTTCTCAATGATTCTAAATGTTATATTAATTCACCATTTACCGTTTGATAAAAGATTAGTTTATCAGAAATATTTTCCTCTTCCATAAAACATAGGTTTGAGAAATAAATGTTCCAATATAAAATCAATTACTCAATATAATTGACTCTTCCCTCCCTTTTCTTACATATGTCACATATGAAATAATAACTTAGGAGTCTATTTAAGCATGGTGTAATCTATTACTCGAGAAGACTCAGTATCACCTGTGTGCAGCTTACAAAAAAACAAACAATTGTGAGAAACATATATTATGCAGGAACTGTATACCTTTGTTGAAAAACAAAGCATATCTGATTTGGGAGGAAAAGCTTCTTCCCCCTAACATCTGAGTCACTACTGATGGCATAGCATAAATGATAGTGAGTGTCTGAGGGTGTTTTTACTGAGAAATGTCAAACACATTCAAAGCCTTACATTTGAAAACTGGTTTGCATTCCTTCTCTTAAAATGACGTTATCATTGGAAACAATAAAAGCTAATTGTTTTGATGTAGAATCTATCAATTGAATCGTTAGAGCAGAACAGAATGGTCGTATTGTAGCCTGAGTACCGTGCAGCCTTTAGTTTCACCAGGTGGAAACATTGTCCATATAATGTGAATACATGTAGAACTAGACATTCAGAGGCCCCTGACATTTAGGCCTATTTTTAAAAATAGTAGGGGCTTTTAACAGCTTGCCAACCTACAGGCATCCTCTGCATAGCAGTATGAATAGCCTTAAAAAAACAACCCACTCTGCGGTAACGAGAGTCATATTTCTGAACCAAATGCCCTAAGTTAAGCCGTTAGTCCCATCTGACTGACCCAAGGGTTGGTGCTGGTGTGACCGGGAGGCTTCCAGGTGTTCTTTCAGTTCATGGCTTGGTGGGGGGAGTGGCCCACGTGAGACAGTATTGTTCAGTTTGAGGAGCGGCATTGTCTCTGGAAGCAGGTAATGGTGTCCATTCTCAGACCAGACCATTAATGTCATTTCATGTAGAGCAGCCATAGCATCTCT